CTCCTGGCAAGAGTGGAGGGACAAGAAGGAGTCTTTGAATTTCATTCAAAGGGATGATATATGAGCATAGGACAGAATGATGAAGACAGAGATGGTTGTGGGAAATCTGACAAACTGAGGGTGGCCTCAGTGGAATGGTGGAGGAAACAGAAGCCACGTAGGAAGAAGGGAAAGGAACAAAGGTATTTCTGAAAGGTGTGGACAGGAAACTCAATTCAGTGGGAAAAGGAGAGGCCGATGGAGAAACTGAAAGGAATATGGTACTGATAGGGCTTTTCATAATTAAGGGAAAACAGAATGGACTGTGTGTTTGAATTACTGGATTTGTAATGTTATCTACATACCTCACAAGACTGACACACAGATTTTCTGGTATTTGCAGCTGGAAAATATGACTTTTACATCTAATATTCTTATTCCATTTCATTGAGTGGCTGCACTTCCTCGCAGTGCTTTTTCTGTCAAACCTTAGTAAAAGTCTTCACCTGATTTTCCAGTCTCCTGTCTTGTCTGTACCTCAGACGCCTCAGCATTTGAAGTTCCTGCTACCCTGCATAGGTTTACTGCCATAATAAGCAACCAAGCTCCTGTGCCAGGGAGCAGCCAATCTCTCACAGATGACAACTGCCTTTATCCACCTTCCTGGCTGGAAGGAAAGAGCACAGCAATCCACAGGTGGTGAAGGCATTTGGATGTAAATGATGCAGGCCATCCATCAGGCTGTACAATTGGATAGTTGGTTCACAGCTGAGTGAACCCAGCGTCTAAGAGACTCAGAGCCTGGAGCAAAAATAATCAAACGTCCATGCAGAATTCACTGACGGCCGAGCATGGCATCATTGCTGGCCTGACATCCTTGCGTATGTGGAAAACCAGCAGGATGGAAAATTAGTGCACCCAAATATACACAGTGAAGTCAGACTGAAAGCAATGAAATTACAGTCGCTCCTCATGAGCTAACGGGACCATTTTCCTTAACCAGTGACCTTCAATTACAGAGTAGAAAGCAAATTAGTAGAGACAAAAAAGAAAAACCTGTTAGCCAGAAAATCTTACTGGCTAAAGCTTGTCTTGTTTTGGTTCCAATTTCCTTAGCTTTCGGTAAAATATGTGCTGTCTCCTTTGGAGTACTGGTGTTAACTGGAAATGTTGATTCTGGGAACAATGAATTCCTTCTTATCAAATGGTTGGGTGTTATGACCAAGTTTTTCAGAAGGCATTAAGGTTTCTTCTGCTTGAAGAATCTGAATCATTGCATGAAGCTTCCTGGTGCCATAGAGATCGAGTTAGGAAGAAATTAAAGGCCAAAAAAGCCACTGCAGGAATGAATAAATAAATGCCATTTCTCAGCATCCCGTTTGCTCACCACTGTTTGCCTGTAGGTGGGAGTGACTGTGAAGGAGGCTGGGATGCATATTTCTAGTGCAGCAGTTTGGTGGTCCCCATTCAGAGCTACAGGGCATACTCTCATCTACAGCCATTTGAAAGAAGAAGTGTGATCCTACCTATTTGTAAATTTACAAATCTAGATCGGTGATGTGGTGTGATCCACTTTGAATGGGAAACTGAGCATGTAATGTTATATGCAAGCTGAGGGTGACCACAGAGGTAACCAGCACTTTTGAGATTCACAGGCTGGCTTAATTCACTAGATAGGCAAGCCTAGAATGGCAAAAAATAGGTACCCTTCTTTAGTTTAGAAGTTGGATGAGATTTTTGTACTTAAATCTTTAAGTAACTATATGTACATTCTGTGATTAATTTTTCAATTCCTCCATTGCAACATTCAAATCCTATTGTGCAAATAAAAATGTGTTTTGACAGGATGAGATCTACCTTCCTTCTCTGGATACATACTTTGACAAATGAAGTTCTCCTTTGGGCATATTAACACCTCATATCTGGCTCAGATTTATAAAAGGAGCTAAGATCTCAATGGAAAAAAAAAAAAAAAAAAAAAGGCAGAATTGTTTGCAAAATAAAATAAGCCACAGTTAAAACAGAGATAACCACCTAGGTATAAGTTTTCTTTTGGCAACATTATGAGCTAAATATCTTTTCTCTTCCTTCAGTCTGTATTGGCACAGTCTTTTCCCCTGCTCCTGAGTTATATGAGAGAACACAGATGGGGAAATATCTGCAGGGGTGCCTCACCTACTTTAGCAAAATCTGAAACATTTTCCTTTTACCTACCACACTTTTTTGTTTACAGATAATCAGGTTTCTCTAAGCCTCCATTTCCCAGGTTTTCCCACGATACTTCAGATCATCAGGTCTTAAATTTAAAGATTAATTTCTAAGGGACTGATGTAACAACATGGTAGAATGCCAATTTTTTTCCTTCTTGCAGCTACTAATATGTTTGTTTTCAGAGGCAATCGATCTTCTTGAGATCTCTCTTCCCCTTAGTTTGACAGAAATCTGTTAATGACGAAGCTCTGAGTGTTCTCTAAATGCAATGTGTGGTGAACTCTTGAGTCCCAAGCCTGAAGCCACAATCTTCCCACTGTTTGTTGCTTGGGTTCAATAAACATCACACTGATATATTGAGATGACTAAGCTATGCAGCGTTCACCTGCCAGCACCAACTCATTGGTTTGGACTTGTGAGTTTTTCCAGATAGCAGACTGGCTTAAAGAGCAAAGCCATTTATAGACCTGGTGATTATAATGATGCATGGGAATAAAAATAGATTTATAACAATCATAACATCCAGGACAGCATTACAAATAGAGAGGATAAAAAACAGAGAAAGATAAATACGTGTCTGGAAATATGACTACTACTGAATCAATAAGCTAATGTCTTACCAAAAGCACATCAGTACAGATTGAAGGCAGAGTGGTATCAGCAACTTTCAGTCTGCCCAATAATAGCAGTCATTTTTCTCCAGCTTTGTGTATGTTACAAGCTGCAGTGAACCATAGATGTTGACCAGAGAGCTGCTTCTGAATCACTGTTAACTAATTAAAACAAACTACCTATATTCCTGTAATGTGGAACAGACTACTTAATGCCTATAGTTTCTATATTAGGTATGTCAGTAAAAAGAAGAAATCCTGGTATTTAAGTTCCTTTTCTTATTACATCTGGTAAACTATCTTATGGACAATGAATAATTAAAGGAAGTTAACTTTTATAAAATAATTCCAGGCTGTGTCCCTTCCCTGCCGTATGGCATATTGTCACAAACGTGGTTCTTTTCAACACTGCCGAGAACAACTTGGTCGTAGCAAGGACAAGTGTTTATTACAGGGTTTGCTGCCTTGTCCTATGATTCTGTTCTGTGCAAAACACATCTTAGCTAATTCCCCAAGGCAAAGTGGCAACACTGTAAAGCTCTTGTGAAAACATTCAAACTGCAGTTTAAACCTTGTTAAAGCATAGTTCTTCTCTGGAAAGTGACACTAAAAATGGCATTGTGGGATTCTGTATTTATTGTCTATTTGTGATTTTCAGATCAAACATGCTAAGTACAGCCATATAGTTCCCTTGTACCATTCACAGCCAGCTCCACAGATCCCAGTGGGATTAGAAAGCTGAAACTTTCATATTCATGTATTTTAAGACGATGGTCTCCTTAGCATCTGTCCAAACCTGTTTGTCCTCACTGAAACAGGTACACTTCAGCTCCCTTCCATTAAGGTGTATGAGCTCAGGGAAGACTGACCTTTTTCTCATACTCTGCAAATATATATAAAAAAAGCAGACTTGTTGAAGAAGACGCCGCTTCTTAATGACAGTCACACTTTGAGCTAAGCTACTTGACTGCCTTTTTAATTTTGTCAGTTGTTTCACAGCATAAAAAGAAAAACTGGGTCTCTAGAAATGTCTTATATGAACTGTATTCCCTATAAACATTAACTGGCAGAAGAACAGGCTTATGAGCTGCATTTTTATTTCTCTAGAGATCCAGCTGTTGTATATTTATGGCGGGCACCAGAAATGAGATGACAAGCCTAACTCGAAGCCCACTGAAACTAGCTTACACTGTTTGATTAACTGTGGGAGCTTGCTATGGATTTGCTGCTTTTGCTTCTCTGGTATCTGAGTGGGGAGCAATTGGCATCACCTACCTCCCAGGGGCAGAAGTTGACTCTGGTGCTGGGTATTGCCAGTCAGAAGACTGCATTATTGTGTCCCGGCTCTTGACAACAACGTTAATTTGGCTTAAATAACTTCTGCTGATGGAGCTGTTGTAGCATTCTTTGTAATACTTTAAGTTGGCCCCTGTATCGAAAATAATGTACTCAGTACAGCTACTTGTACATGGTCAGTGATAGACATTTAGAAAATGGTCCTTCTCTTCACACCACAAAGAAAATGTCAAGGTAGATCCAGACTATCAGCACTGCTCTTTATCTATGCAGCATGTCCACTAACATACCTAAGAGTAGATATCAAAGTACTAGAAGTCTCTGACAAGGTTACAGGAACATCTAGAGCATCCATTTAAGTAATGAAGTGATAACAACTACCTGACAGATGTCAGCAATACGCCTCTGGGTAGCTGGATTTCCACGCCAATTTTCACAATGCCTCTTAGAAAGAACTCATCACTAATTCAAGTGTCTTGAATTTTTATCATGTTGACGAGTACAATCAGCATCTGTTTCAGTCTCAGGTTATGCTTGATGGGTGTTCAAACCATTACAGATGTATAAGGAGGAATGTGCTGGGCTGTCCTTGAAGACTATGGGTTCCTGACTTAGCATAGCTGGATTTTGTAAAACAATGTGCAGGCTTTTTCCACCTCCCTCTTGCCAATCCCACACAGCCTCGTGATTCAGAGGGGCAAAACTGCACAATTCAGAGGCAGTGTGGGCCCCAGATTTCAAATGCTTGAGAGCTGGAATATCCAGAGCTGAGGTTTTGGTCTGGCCTACGAAAAAGGGCAGAAAACCATCTGTGAAAACTGGATGCACGACTAGGTTTGGCTTCTACCCCAGGATCCCACAGAGTCTGAAATACGGCCGATAATCACTTTCAGGGTATCTGCAGGTTGGGAAAAGGAATACTTTGTTCAGACCTCTGAGGGGAAAGTCACACCCTGGCTGACTTTCCTGGGGTACCAGCCTAGAGAAGGCCAATGGGTCAGAGCCCCCACAAAGCTCCAGGCTGGTACCCGAGGGCCTACCGAGTAAAAGGGATGCAAAATCATCAGTGTTTGATCTGCACTGCTTCAGGAAAAAAAAAAAGCTCTTTTCTGATTAAAAACACCGCATGGCACAGGGAAGAAGGAAGAAGCACAAGGCCCTTTGCCCAGCGGGTGGCATGGGCACTTGGCCAGGGCAGCAGAGTTGCTGATGGTTTTCCCACGTCGGCAGGGAAGGGAAACCAGCAGGGTTTCTCCTTCCCCTCCACCTCCCTCTTCCCGACCTTTGTTTCCCAGCCAGTCCCGCTCCTGGAAATCCCTGGGCAACCAGGCAGAAAGGAGCCTGCGGGCTCGGTGGGGAACGGCAGCCCTGGGTGAGCTCCAGGCTCCCTGTGGGGGCTGGCTGTGGGGCCGTGGGGCCTGCAGCTCACCCGCTGGCAGTGATTTCTAAACAAGTCCCCTATAAGCCTGACTGCTGAGACATGCTGTCCTGAGACATGTCTCTCCCCACCAACCCAGCTGCGTAGAGGAGGGGGGGGGGAAAGACAGACAGACAGAGCCCAATTAAACCCTCCCCTGGCCGGCCCCTGACACTCCCTCCTGCATTTTCCAGTCTGTGGTTACAGCACTCAAAGAGTTCCATTAAATCATCAGATTTTACAGGTTCCTAAAAAAAAAAAAAAAAAAAAAAGGGAGAGAGAGAAAAGTTTGGTCATAGTAGGGAATGAGTGATCAAAGCTGAGCCAAAGCTTCCTGTTACACCGGGACTATATATATACCGTGTCTTTAATGTTGGGGGATGTCAGCAGGCTGCTAGGAGGCTGGAGCACTGGCTAGCTCTGCCTGATTTCCCAGCGCACTGAGGTTTCTTCCACCAACCACAATGAACAAGTTCCTGTGCTGCACGCTTGTGGTAAGTCCCTTCAGAGAGGTAGATAGGGCTTGAGATGGATTGCAGCTTCAGAGATGAGGCTGAAAAGACACAGGGCTTTTCTGTTGTATTTTTGTTGTTGTTTTGCTTTGTTTTTGTTTGTTTTCTTTTTCTTTTGCCTTTTCTCCATTTTCCTGGTGAACACTTTTTGTTTCATCACACTGGGCTTTCCTGGTGAGGTTTGGACACGTCTCGCGTCAGGAAGGAAGCACAGATTTTGATCCCTTTCTTAAGGTAGTGGCATGATTTACTTTTGTTTTGCCTTCTTTCTTATCTTCCTCTCACCTTTTGCAAGTCTTCATTGTGCTGTACTAATATAAAATACTGAATGTAGGAATGAGTTTTAGAAATAGCAGGCTGGGATGTTTGTATTTGATTTACAGAAGCTCCATCCCTGCCTGTCTGTGTAGTCGTTCCTACAGGGGTACAAGGCAGTGTCTCACATACTGGGCTGGCTTTCTTTCCCTGAAAAACCACTGTGACTCCAGAAAAAAAAGTGTGTGTGCTTATTTTGGCTAAGAAAATTCAGCTTCATGTGTAAGAAAATGATGAATTGGGAGCTGTGTCTGTAGCTTTTACAGAAAAAAAATTATGTTATTAAATCAGGTAAAGCCCCTTATTAAATAAGTTTTTGTTTACTTGGTGATTTACAAAGATACTTCCAGATGCAAATTTAGAGATGTTAGCAGTGCAATAAATCTTTCAAAAGACCATTTAATCTGTTTAGCTGTGTGGAATTTTATATGACGCCAGTTTAATTAAAACCTGCATGCAGCCAAATACTGTGTAGCATCTGCTTGGAGACTATTCACCTCTTGGATAAGAAAACATTTAAATAAAAACACTTAACATCCTACTCTGAACAGTACTTTTTAAGTGTGTCTGCACAATAACTTGTTTCTCGTTTGTTTTGGTGTGTACAGGGACATTAATTTTGTGGTAGAACATTAGAACTGAGTTTCAGTTATTCTGAAAGCTCTTTATAAATGCACCAAGATTTCCAGGATCTGATGAGTAATGCATGTTTATTACTTTCTGTAGGACTTTCTGAAAGAGCTTTTTGAGAAAGAAACCAAAGTAATTAATGGTGCAAGAGAAGCAAAAACTGTCAGGCTCGTGGTTGGCAAGCTGAAATGCAAGACAACTTATTCATCTAAGGCGTAGCATTGTCTACGAGGAAGCACAGAAATCTGATTTGGAAATTTCGGCTTCTTATCTGTGGTTGCCCATAAAGTACTCACATCAGCATTTTGCTTCTACTTAAATGTAATGTGCCTATTCATGTTCTTTCTTAAAGTCATAGTTTTGGGTGAAGTTCAGCATAACCTTTGGCAGTGGAGTCTCTGAGCTGAAGTATATCACAGTGATAGGAGTGCATATCATGGAGCTTCATCATTCAACTCTTTTTTTCTTTCTATTTAAAGGCAATTTATTTTGTTATTGTGAAGTTTGCTGTTGGATGTTCTGTAGCTCTGAGGATAGTTTGAGTGCTTGTTCTGTAAGAACACTTGTGGAAGGCACAGCAGCAGTTCAAAGTTGTACGTGTTTGACTTAAACACCTTGGTTTTGGTTCACCATCACTGAAAAGGACGGTTTGGACATGATGTACTTTCAGCCTTGGCCTCTTTGCTGAAAGTTTCAGCAAGGAGACCTGCTGTGGTAACGCGTGCATGTACGTGTTGTTTGTTGGAACACTAAAACAGCTTACAAACATATGAGCCTTATGAAATAGGCTGAATTGAAAGAAATTCCCCAGAGCTGGATCTTGTTACTTGTCACGTAACTATCTTGACCCTTAAACTTGACCTTTCTCTATTTTGGATCTCTGGGTGCATGTGACATGCTTTTTCTGGCCTGCCTGTTGGGTTTGCTGTGTGTAGGCAGCAGTGGCTTTGCAGCTTGAGAGGGTAGGAGTTATCTTTCTGTCTGACTTTCCTTCTTTCTTTCTGTCTGTCTGCCTGCATGTGTGTTGGTTAAAAATAAAGCACCAAAGTTACCAGAAGAGTTTTAAAAGTTGTCGGAATTTAAATTAGACACACTTATCTAATCTCATAGAAACTTTAATTTTGCTCCTTTGGTAATTAACTTTCATACTAGTAGATTTACTACACTGATGGTCTTCCCGGGGGGAAAAAACACCTGTTTGCAGATGGTATCAGTCATACTTCTTTTCTAGCTAAATGATATTATTAGTTCTGTTCAGTGCAGCCTGTAGTCATGTTGGTATCATCTCAAGTCTTGATGTTACCCTGATGAATTATGTTCAAAAATAGGATTTATGGTTAAGATACATCTTTTGGTGAGTAGCTGGTTAGTCATTCCTACTTTCTCCCAACACAATCTTCAAGTGAAGTGCAGCTGTCATGAATGAAGGCACACGGCTGCTTCTCAGTTGAATGTCATTTTCCTACCATTGGAAATGAAACAATTGTTTAGACCCCAAATTTGCTCTGTGAATGACAACTGTGTGTTACAAAATCTCTACAAGATTTGAATTGCTAACATATCGTTTTCCCAGGAGAGAAATAAATGAAGATAGTGGTCAGTATCCACAGTTTTGAATACAGATGGCTCTAAAGTGTCACTAGTTACATTTCTTAAATAAAATGGTGGCCACCAATCTGCAAAGCATCCTCTATTCAAAAGTAGGTCCTGTAACATGCAAAGTGAATGGATTGCATTGAAACAGCTGGCAGAATGGTGAAACAGCTTTATAAGCAGATCTGAAAACAGCAAAAATAACTCTGTTTTAGCTATTGTTGTGTACCTGGTGCTAAATTGTGCTCTGCTGAAAAAATATTTCCCCTGGGTTGTGCTAAGAGAGCCTGCTAATTATGAGCTAAACAGTTCTGCGTATCTGTCACCCCAAATAATTTACACTTAGTGATTGCATGGTCTCCCATCTGAAACAGAGGGGTGATGAGGATGAAATATCTCCCAGCTGGCCAGATGGACATTCCCTAGATGAAAAAAAAAAACATTAACAGTGGCTATTTGCAGTAGATGGCCATGGATCAGACCCAGCACAAAGTGTCTTGTACTGGATCTGCAGCGGTAATTTCCAACCTTAGTGATCCTATGATTCTATAAGCTATTGGTTAGGTGAACCTCCTTAATGCCATTCAGTTCCATATTTTGTCAGTAGGATTTCCATGGCGTCTGTGCGTGGGGCATTCTGCCTAAGGACAGAGGGCCTCCTGCCCTAGTCTTGTGCCAATACCTTGTGTAAAGAGCAAAGTAGGAGAGCTGTGAGGTTTTACTTTCAACCCAACACAAACACTAGGAGCAATCTGACAAATGCCTTGAACAATTATTTATCAAGCAGGAAAATATGTTTCAGAATAGTTGTGGAATGCAAAACAGAAACAGATTATCTTTCTCAGAAAATTAAACATTCTCCTTTGGTCTACAACCCCAAACCGCAACACCAAGCTATATAATAATATTTTCATATGCTGAAAAAACACTTTCTTTTCCTTCACAAAGCAGTGATTTAAGGGGATGATGCTTGAAAGATTATTGCTTTATGGGCTTTGTCTTCCAGTTCATTTTAATTCAACAAGAAAAGACAAGCAGCTCTTTGCCTTACATTTAAAGATGAAAGAAAAGGGTGTGTACTGTTTTCATGCCCTTTTACAATCACATTATTTCTCTTTCAAAAGCATCTTCGAAGGGCTCAAATAAATGGACTGCACAATCCTTTTATGTGAGGATTGAGTGTTTTGTGTATGCTGACTGAAGACAGTATGGAAAAATATTGCTTTAGGCCTGATGTATGGAGTGACAGAATCAAAGAAATGTTGTTTAGCCTTGAGTAACTCATTTTGGCTAAAACATTGTAAGTACCAGTACATAAACCCAGAGCTATTAGAATATTTTAAAACATGAGTCCAATTTTTATATCATCCTCTAAAGACTCCGATATGGTTATCAGCAAGTCCTGCCTTCAGTTGTCTCAGCATATACTTGCATGACACTGATTTACACCAGGACTGTGTTTTGATATTTCCAATTCATCCCACCTACTCGCATGGAGATGGCCATCCTAAGAGGTGCTCAGGAATTGCCTTATGGAGATGATGGAGGACTGGGTTTTTTAGGCATTTCAGAACTGGGCTTGTGGTGCCCAGCTGAGATGAAATTCACCCAATAGGTTGATAGATGTAGCCAATGATACTAGATTTTTTTCTGTTGTTTTAGCAATAATTTTGTTACTGATTGCACTTCCTATTTGCAGAACAAAATAGATGAACAAACTGGGAATTGTTTTCTTAAACTGAACCTTGCGTTTCACAAGTGTAGGAAAATCCTTTGCAATTCAGGACGTTCTGAATCAGTCTAACAGTTAATTTGTTGAGATGAAGAAGATACTGAGTGTTGGGATAGAAAGGATATGCTTATGTTTTAAAATTGAAAGAGACTGCCCATGTCTATTGCGTCCACCCCTCAGCTCTTCCAGGAAACCAAGCAGCTTTCAGAAATGCACCAAGAGCTATACTTAAACTACTTGGGTTTCTTGCACCTGCTTCTTGGTAAAAGGCTGTTCCTGGACTTCCTCTGACAAGAGAATCCCCTTTTCATTTGCCACATCATCCTTTAACTGAGAAAATTTTTCTCTTGCCCTGCGTTCACTGTCTGTACTGAGTCCATGGGTACTGTTTTAACTTGCCAAGCTGTTGAGCAGTTAACATCTTCTTAATGGCCATGCTCTCCATTTCCTTCTCATCTCTCCTGACATTTCTTCTTATCTGCATTAACCTCTCCTAAACAAGAATGAACAGAATTTTATGCAGTGTATTGAATGACTAATCCATAATTCTAGCCAAGGGCATTTTTGATAGACTCCAGCTTCAGTTTCTTAAGAGTTTAAAAGGTAAACTGAGGCCAGACTTCCAGTTTCTCACTTGTTTCAAGCTGGAACATGCCCTTTTCTCCAACTAGTGCCAACAGGTCAGTGTCAGCATGATTTTAGGAGAAATCTTGCTTTCATTGCAGGTCTCAGAAAGATTGACAGTTCAGGATTAGTAAGTTCTGATCGACACATTTACAAGTGCTCCAGCAGTGCTGTTTCTTTACAGCAGAGATTCAGGAGTTTAATACTTAGTGTGTCTTTATGTATGGACGTCTAGTTCTATCAGAGGCTTTACATGACAGAGGATTTGCTACCAACTTGGTCTTAGCGTGGCTTAGGAGGAGAAATGGCAGGAATGACATAAATACATTTCATTAGCATTTTAATTTGGTCTAGGAACATGTCTTTGAATGGCCTGTCCTGATCATCCTTATTTGCTGTATTATAGTTTGCACAGCAAAGCAGACTTAGAGCGTACAAGGTGGATTTACAGAAATAACCTGGATTGATGAAAGTAAATCCAGAGAGATGGACTCTGGAGACACACCAGATGCGCTGTAACTGCATGGTAGCAGCCTAAAGTTAGTCCCAAACAACCCCCACTGAATCGTGCTTCATGTGGATGTCAGGTGTTCAGCACCATCTGTTCTGCACCACAAATCTGCTATAACAGGTGACTTAGCTTGTTATGCAAGCACAACTGGGGGGATGTTCTTCAGCATGTCTTTTGCTAGGGGACTGGACAATTTAGCAAAGTTCCTCTCTGACTTATTCCGTGAGCTGAGAGACAGGAAGCTTTTCATTCTGTTTGTGCCATGTCACTGCAGTAAAACTGTAAAAAAATACTTGATTACCTTCCACCACCTTCCCTGCCTTTTTGCAAAACTTCTGAAAAATAGCTTGCCTTTGTTTTGATGCTTGGCTTAGGTTCAAGGATAACTTCTGATTTTCAAGTTATATATTGAAACCCATAACGGTCACATATGTTGTCTGTTCTTTGTCTGAAAAGAAGACAATCTTCTGTTATCTAAGCATTTTCAAGGGATCTATAGCAGTTCTATGAGGAAGGGTGATATTGGGGTTTGGAGTCTCGAAATGCACTTAGCAACATACTAATGGCTGTGCTGGGTCTGAGAAAAAAATGATCCAAGAAAAATCCCTTAAATGACCCATATGCTGTCTATAGCAAGGGTTGATACATAGAGGAGATGTAAGAGAATGGAAAAATATCACTGTATTTTCACCTAAACACTCTTTCAGACTCATGCAATTTGTGTTTTGGGATTTCTTGATTAAGAGGCGATGTTTGTGTTTAATTGCCCTTTATTTGAATGTTCCTCCTTTACTCTGTCCTGCTGAATTTTGCACCCAACTGCTTATGGTGTCTTGTGGCAACGAATTACGGCAGGTTGCTGTACTGATAGGATTGCAAATGTCAAACAATAGCAGTGGTATCTCATACAGCTCTGTGTTGAAAATGATGTATGAGATGTTTTGGTAAAATACTGAGATACTAATTGCATTTATAGCTTTGTTTTGACTAGAAGATCTTTAGCCATAATTATTTATGAAATAAGAGTTTCATGAGGTTCAGCCTGCGATTGACAGATTATTGCAGCTATGTAATTTGTGTTTCTGGAAAGACAAGTGTGATGTGCTTTTCTATTAAAAAGGCAAAGAAAAAAATGAAATCCAAAGACTGATAGTCTTGGTGACACTGACATATTAATCCTATTAGCATGTTTATTTGTTACACTCATTTAGATTAATAGTATTTTGCTTGGCAGCTATTTGTACTTCCAGAGTTAAAGCTTAGCACAGTCTCACACATACCATTCAGGTATGTTTTTGTTCCTCTCAATCTGGACCTTTAAAGTGAAATAACTTTTTTTACCAAATGATGCTATAATGAAAATTCGAATCAGTTTCTCTCTGCAGCTGTGTTGAATTGACTTGTTTCACATGGCAGTGGGCTTTTCAGGAAGGGAGTACCTCCATTTTTCCCCACAAAACACCATGCTCTTACATCTTGCTTAATGAAATTGAGTTCTTTTAACCCAGGAAACTTGCCTTCACAAGAGGCAAGTGAAAGGCAGCTAATCCTTTCACTTGCCTCTTCTCTGTGATTTCCAATGTAAATTGCCAAGTAAGAAAAATAGACGCATTGTCATTCCTACTTCTGCCTGTTACAGAGGCAGTTGATCAGCCTTGAAATGGTTCATCTAACCATTCAGTGCCTGAAAATGTGTAAGCAAAAACAGAAGAGGCATGACCTGCTTGTCTGGTTGCTGTCCCTGATCATTTTCACAGTGTCAGATCTTCATCCATGTTTGATGCTGCCTTGGGTTTCCATGCATATCTGCACAAAACATGGGTTTATTCTTGTCTCTGTGGCATTTGTGCTTCGTATTGCAGACAGTTGTGTTCTGCAAATTGGACTCTGTGGGATGCTGTAGTATCTATAACAGAATAAAAGCCATTGAAGAAAAACTGACTATTCGCATCAACAATTGATGTGTTTATCAAGACTTCCTTATTACTAAGCGTAATAGACGTAGATTTACCAAGGGTGGGTGCATTTTTCATAAATGGAAAGCCATTCACATTCAAAAAATGTGCTGCACCCTCTTGTTAAACAGACTGCATGAAACAGATCTAGTCATTTAAGAAAAATGAGCTATGGATCATCAGTAAACTTCAGTGAGCAATAAGGAATTTCTTACAATGAAAGAGGCCGTACATTGAAAGTGCCAAAAGAAAAGTGGATTCTACAAGTGTAAAGAAAAAAAAACCAACAAACAGAAGAGATAAGTTACTGGGCTTAGTCAAGAATGGCCAGAAGCAGTGGGGAAAATCCATACTGTGTACATTTCATTCCTTAGCCTGTCTCAGTATGGCTGTGTAACAAGTGGATTTAAAGACAGCATGAGAATGCAGTTAAGAATATTTTGAACTCCTAATTTAGGCACCTAATGTTACTTAGTGCAAATTCAGTGACTCTCGTTAGTGCAAATCATTGTCCTTTCCTGCCTTAATAAGAATGCTGCTGTTTTGTGGCATAAGTGAGGCCCTTAGTTGAAACCCCTTTAGAAAATTTAGAATCTGAATGAATAGGAAGAGTTAATTCCACATACACTTTGAGGTTTCTACATTGGAAAAGAGGAAAATACGTTCTTGAAATGGAATTTGCGACTCTATGTTAACTCACTAGGCCAAAAATAGCAGTAAAGACCATCAAGGCTGGATCTTTAATTTGAACAGATACGTAGAAAAGTTTCTTCATTCAGAGTCAGTTTGCTGCATGATTCTAAAATGTACGAGTTCTCAAAGGGAAGCAAGAAGTATGTCATGGTTCTCAGTGTGAAGGACAAGCTCCTGGCAAACCCTATGGGGCTGTGCTGAGGGAAGTAAAGAGAGACATTTAGGCTGGTGTGATCACTTAACCAAAATTTTAGTGACAAGACCAAAGTGATATGATATCAAGGCTGTCTCTACAGAAGGACAGGGCCACCTCAGACCATTGGGTCCTGAATTGTGCCAGGAAAACAGACTTGCAGGAAGCAGAAGAGCTTTTGGCCAGAGCTGGACTGGGTGCTTGAGTGGTGCTGAGCATTTCTTGCCTGTGTTTTTAGATAGGAAGTGGGAGCATTAGCCAGACCTGTTCCAGTTTGTGTGAATAAATCCTTACCATACCTTTAATCATAGCATTCTCTACCTCTGTCTGAAGCTACCTCATCCTACTGACAGGGACTGCCATGTTGTGCCCCCAAGAGCTGCCACATTTCAGTTCAAGATTAAATGGAAGGCAATAAACATCACTTATATTGTTCTAGCTGGGTACTATCTTTTAGAGGTATCTGTGCTACTGGTATGTGTCAGATTTGTTTGCTCAGATACTTGCTATTTCTTTTGTGTTTGAAGTGATTGATACTCAAGAACACCAGAGCACATAATCCCTGACTTGCAGTGCATGGAATGCAGTGCCAATGGAGCTGACAGGCCAGGTCTGCAGGTGCCAAGAGGCAAAAGGTCATTGCCCAGTGATATTAAAAGGGTATAAGTGGGAGAAGAATGGCTCAGTAAGATCCTACATTTTTTTCATTTTAAAACAGACGTGGGAGAGACCAGAAGCCGGTCTAACACAAACGTATTTTTGAAGATAGTGACATGGTTAGGCTCACCAAAATGTAGGTTTGTATGTGACTGTGGTGCTCACTGAACTGAAGCAAGCAATGTTTTCTTTTCCTGTGGCTAGCTCTTGGACATCTCGGTCAAGTGGAGCATCCAGGACATCTCTCCCCCCAAGTATCTCCATTACGACCCTGGTACATCTCGTCAGGTGATGTGTGACCAGTGCCCTCCCGGGAGCTACGTAAAGCAGCACTGTACGGCTACCAGCCCGACGGTGTGTGCCCCATGCCCAGATCAGTACTACGCCGAAGACTGGAACAGCAACGACGAGTGCCAGTACTGCAGTGCTGTTTGCAAAGAGCTGCAGTACATCAAGCAGGAGTGCACGAGCACGCAGGACCGTGTCTGCGAGTGCACTGAAGGCTGGTACTTGGAGCTGGAGTTTTGCTTGAAGCACACGGAGTGCCCTCCTGGATTTGGCGTTGCACAGCCAGGTATGTGCCATTTGTCAGGAAGCACAGAGTTAATCAGTGCTCTGCGGTGTGTTGGAGCTCATGGCACTTACAGGATTAGGAAACAGGCTTGACCAGATGAAGTTACAGGACAGTAAATTATAAAAGCAATTGAACCCTCTCCTAGGCTGCCGCATTTGAACTGTAGCCAAAGGAATGTTTCTCAGTGGAATACCCCGCTCCTCTAACTTAATGGCAGTAACTTAATGGCAGCAGCAAATGTAGCAAATTGCACTCTAATGAGAAACATGATGGATTGCCTCTTTTAAAGGAACATTATCTGTAATGTAGTATTTGTGTGTGTGATAAATAATAATGTTTCTCATTGTGAAATCTGCTGTTTCAAGCAACTGTGTATCTTAACAAACACCAGGACCACTAAGTGTTTGACACCAACTGTATAATTATAACAATATTAATATAGCTCTAGCAGCACAGCAATATGTGGTAATAATTAATTACCAGCATCCTAAGTGGAACTCTTAGGGAAACTGTTACAATTATCATACAAACAACCTTTTTTTGTCAAGCAGAATGGCACTGCACGGTATGTCTGGTGGGGATAGAGGGTGAAGCAGTGCGTTCCAGTGAAGTGTATTCTTCATTTGAGACAGCAGGAATTGTTAAACCAGTAATAAGCTCTTCTCTGTAAATAAAATGCATTGTTAATCATTTGGCAAATGCAACGGCCCAGTTTAGTTCCAATATTTAATACAGCCTGAAAGAGTTGTATACTGTCATTATATTGGAGACTGGTAACTGCCCAGAGGAAGGGAATATGGAAAATCAAAGCATCTCCAATAAAAACCTGCAGGCAGCCAGTCTCCAGCACTGCAGAATGACTGCCCTAGTTGATACATATACAAAGTGAGAAACACAAGGACTGGCTGTAAATTTAGAGACATGCTGAATAATAGCTCAGGAGTCCTCTCTCTCGTTATGAACATTACGTTGGAGAACTAGTCTGATGTAAGGAGCAGTGTCACTGATCACCATTCCCTGAGTAATTGACTGAGCTCTCTACCCTCATCCCGCATCTGCTCTTGCCACCATTAAGCATTTCTATGCAGTTCCACTGGCAGTGACTACAGTTCCATATTATAAACTGTCATTAACCTAGATCCTCACACCTAGTGGCTTGGGTTAATGAAGTTGCATCACCTGGACAGCAAGTCAGGAGGGGACACAAAATTCTCAGAAAGCCCACCCAGGAGACAAAGATACAATCCTACAAACACAGTGAAACCATAGTGGCAGATAAGAATCCCTAAATTTGTAATGAAACAAACCTTAGAAGATAAATTGTTGAATCATGTATTTATTGGAAAGTCGGTTTCCAAAAGCCCATCAGAATGAACATGCTAAACCTAAGCAGACCTCAAACAAGGAATGAAAACACTATAAAGATTAATTATGTCCTCCTGTGCCAATAGTCAGGTTTTGAGATGAGGCATTGGCTAGGAATTTAGTAAGCATGGACCACATTTTCTTCCCACTTTCTGCTACATGATACTGTTGAACTTTGTACTGATGTAAATTCAGATGAAAGAAAACCCGAATAGAGAAGAATACACTCCCACTGCCACACAGGGTGATAGTGTGGTTCAGAGCCTAGTTCAAAGCATAAAGAATGAGAAGTGAAATCCAACTGTTGCCCTACTGATGGCAGCTACGTTGGGAAGATACTGTACTTTGGTAGTCCCCATTTCTGCATGTGCATTTAGGCTTTGTTCCTTGTAGCCGCAGTCAGCCTTGTGTGTGGCAGAGCTTTCCAAAGCAATCCACTGGGAATCAGGACTTCTGCCAGGCTGTTATCTCCCAGCTGTGCTGCCGCTTCCTGCAGGAGTGGGGGATTCCAGTCACCCTGGAGGGAGCGGCAGAAGGGCAGTCGTGATGCGGCCCTGAACAAGAGAAGCCAGATAAGCAGTGAAGAAACTGGAAAGGTGGGGGGATTACTTTGTGCTCAGCAATGGATTGCCCGTTTATTTCCCTCTTGTGCTGCAAAGATTACAGGGGAACTTCTGAAAGGACCAGCTTACCGTTTGCAGGGACTCTCCTCTCTTCCTCTTCCTTGCTGGTGAAACACAGAGTGTCTGTAGAAGGGAAAATGCTAAAAGTTCAGACTTCTCAGAAAAAGTAATTGTTGCTTGCTCAGGTCCGGGTGTTGGCTTGAGTTTTGTATCATCTGGAGCCTCCAGCAGTGTGTGTTGGGGAAGTGAACACCAGGGCTGCTTGCATGCAGCCTTACCCAGCCTCTCTGCTGCTGGCTGCAGAAATTGGAGGGTTTGGGGGGTTGACAGTATCCAGGGCCTCTAATTTCCAGGTGCACAGCAGCTAAAATTTTCCCCTTTGCTTTCACCTCAGGTTTAATGGAAGAAGAGCTAGATCATAGAATCAGATAATCCTTAGAGTTGGAAGGGACCTTTAAAGACCATCTAGTCCAGCTTCCCTGCAATGAACAGGGACATGCACAGCTAGATCAAATAACCTGGGGTCTGGTCCAGCCTCAACCTTGAAATTCTTCAGGGACAGGTCATAAACCACATCTCTGGGCAACCTGCTCCTGTGCCTCACCACTCTCACTGTAAAAGACTCTTTCCTTATATCTAATCTAAATCTACCCTCTTTAAGCTTGAAGCCATTTCCCTTTGTTCTATCACAGCAGACCCTATTAAAGAATCTGTTTCTTTTCTGCAGATCTCCTTTAGATACTGGAAGGCCACTCTCAGGTCACCTCAGAACCCTCTCTTCTTCAGGCCGAACAGTCCCAGCTCTCTCAGCCTGTCCTTGTAGGAGAGGTGTTCCATCCCTTGGACCATTTTTGTGGCCCTCCTCTGAATGCGCTCCAACAGATCTATATCAGATCAGATTATATATTTTGTGGCTAGTTGAAAACTCCTGATTCTTTTCTCTGAGGAAATATCCCAAATAAATAAAATTTACTTCAAAACTAGAGCTGTAATAAGCATCCACATGTAAATACTACCAAGATACACTAGATGGAGGCACTTTCATATTTAAATAAGATTACTAATTATTATTTGCAAATAATACTAAGCATGTGCTTAAGTCTATGTTCAGTAATGCAATGTTATATAAGAGAGCTTAGGCACTTGCTTAAGTGATGTCTGCATAACTGTGAATTGAGAGTGAATATAGAGCAATTAAAGAGATTTCAAAGCCAATCCAGTTTCAGCCCCCTCCCTTGAGCAGGACTGCCACCCACCAGCTCAGGCTGCCCAGGACCTCACCTTGAACACCTCCAGGTATGGGTCACCCACAGCTTCTCTGAGCAGCCTGTGCCACTGCACTCTGAATAAAGAATTTTTTCCTGTCATCTAATCTGAATCTCCCCTCTTTTACTTTAAAACTGTTCCCCCCCTTGTCCCATCACTATCTACCCCCAAAAAACTTCATTTACCTCCTGTTTATAAGCTCCTTTATGTATTGAAAGACCACGATGAGATCTCCCCAAAGCCTTCTCCAAGCTAAACAAGCCCAACTCTCTCAGACTTTCTTTGCAGGAAAGGTACTCCAGCCCAGTGATCATCATCTTGGCTCTCCTCTGGACCCACTCCAACAGCTCCACATCCTTCCACATCCTAGGGCCCCAGATCTAGATAAAGTACTCCAAGTGGGGCCTCATGAGGGCAGAGCAGAGAGGGACAATCACCTCTCTCTCCCTGCTGCCACTACTTTTCAGATGTAGCCCAGGATACTGTCAGCCTTCCGGGCTGCAAGCGCACACTGCTGGCTCACGTTCAGTTTTTCATGCACCAGGGCTTTGCACCCAGTCTGTACTCATATCCCTGACTCAAAAGTGCAGCATCTTGCACTTGGCCTTGTTAAACCTCATTAGGTCTGCTTTTTGAGCTTGTTCAGGCCCCTTTAGATGGCATCCTTTCCTTCAGTCATATCACTCAGCGTGGTGTCAGTAAATTTGCTTAGGGTATAACTCTGTCTTCTAAAACACCATGTAAATATATCTGTATGTGTATTAAATGTTTTTCATATATTGGATGGTACTTTGAATATTTTATTCAAGCCAGGAAAAAATTCAAAATGTTGGTGGAATTATGTTTCCCTGTATAATTTTATCCTTCAGAAGTGGAAATACTTATCAGAGGGTCTTTAGTTGATATGTAGTTGAGTTATTTTTGGCTAGAGCTGAAGTAATCTATTTGCGTAAGGTTCTCTGCAGATATTACAGAGTATAGTTTAGCAAGGAGTCTTGTGCCATTTAATTATTTTACACAGTGTTAGTGTGGATGAAAGATGAAGGTCAGACATCAGATAATATCTGAATAGATTCAAGTAATTAGTGTCTTAAAGATCCTTACAGGAGTTGATAATAAGTGCATCTAAGAGTTCTGTTTATTCTATTAGTCTAGCAGGAGCATCATTCTCTGAAAAAATTATTTGTTTTTAAAACTTAAAGTGTTTTTTTTCCCCCATAATATGAGTCCTTCATAGATTAGAAATATGAAAATCAGAAGTGATCACAATTTTAGAAAGAATGTATATTTTCACTTTTTTTTTTTACCACTTGAGTTTGCATGTAATTGAGTGCATTGTTTTCTTGTTTCCACAGGTACTCCTGAGAGTGACACTGTTTGTAAAAGATGTCCAGAGGGATTTTTCTCCAATGAAACGTCATCCAAAGCAGTCTGTCAAAAGCACACAAACTGTAGTGCTCTGGGTTTCAAAACAGCATTAAAAGGAAATGCAGTTCGTGACAACATCTGTCAGGAAAATACAGATACGTCACCTCAAAAATGTGGAATAGGTGTGTATCATATTAAACAAAGTCTGAAAACATACCTTTGATGGCCATTAAAATGAAAATATCAGCATTTGTGATGAAAATAACAAGCCATTTGCCCGATATGGCAGTGGTTGGAGTAGAGTCTTAATTCTTTCAGGCCGGTCTAAATGGAACTCAAGCACAGAGAGCAACAACACTAAAGACCACTTCCTAGTTTTAGTGATTGTAACTGTTTTTCCTTATTACCCTTCTGCATGCTGTGTAGTCCAAAGACAAGCAGGGCAACAGAGATGACACTGATGTACATAGTTTTTTGCTATGAGCAGCCTGCTCTAGCTGTAGTTGTCCATGTTCGTTGCAGTAGAATTGGACTGAATGACCTTCAGGGGTCCCTTCCAACTCAAACGATTCTATGATTCTATTTTTCTCCTTCTTTTTGTTTCAGATGTAACCCTGTGTGAAGAGGCTATGTTTAGGTTTGCTGTTCCTACTCATCTCACACCCAACTGGCTGAACACCCTTGCGGACAATTTGCCTGGGACAAAGATCAGCACAGAAAATATTGAACGGATTAAACAAAGGCACAGTTCACAAGAGCAGACCTTCCAGGTTTTGAAATTATGGAAGCAGCAAAACAAGGAGCAGGATACGGCCAAAAAGATTATTCAAGGTACTTGATATTATTAGTGCTTACATTGAGAGAAACCTAATTGGCGTTTTAAAAATTGCTTGAGATTGAATTCCTTCTGGTGATGTGTTCTGCTCTGAGGAGGCCCCTCAGGGCCTGGCAGAAATTTATTGATGCAGTAAGCACAGTGAAGCTGAGGGAAGGAAACTTTCCTGATCAGCTCAGAGAACTGACTTCTTCACAGACACATAGGCCCTTGGGAGTACATGTGGTGTCACAGCCCATATTCTCTTTTGAGGCTGTACAGCAGACGAAGAATTTTGATTAGATAGGGGGAAAGCATTTCCCACTGTTACATCCGAGCAGTGGTTAGAGGGAGTAGGATGTGTGCAGCTGAGAGTGCAATTTGTTTTTATTATGAAATAGAGATTGACAGCTTGAACCAGGACATCTATACAGAGAGTGGGAACACATGGGAATACAGAATACACAGACATGCTTTCTCTTCTTTTTCCCTTCCGGGACCTATTTGTCATACCAACTGACTGCTTTGTTTGTGCTGAATCTGCCAAGACAGGTGTCAGAGTTGAAGCAGTGCCGCAATGTTAACATGGGGGCTGTATGAAAGCCAGGCTAACTCTTTTTGTGTAAGCCACCATCAACAACCACCACATTTGAATGACCTTTTGTCTACTGGGAATAGATTTGAAAAATGTTACAGAAATGTTTTTCTTTACCTCTTCTTTTAAATATTTATGGCTATGTCAGATTGTGAGGTGTCTAGAACACTTCAAAACTTAAAATGACTACTTTAACAAAGCTTGCCTAAATATTTCTGAGAAGAATGAATTTTTCATTCACTGGAACCAAATATTAGAAGTCCTACCATGTACACAGAACATTGTACAAGATAAATGAAACGGGTGTATGAAAATAAATACTTGCTAGTAACTTTGTATGTAATTTGGGGCTGTTTGTATCTGCAAAGTTAATTACATTCTTAAGTTCTTTTCAAAATTGGAGCTTAAAAAAGCCAGTATTGCTTTTTGTAAAGAGAACTACTTGAAATAAAAATACCAAATTAAGAAGAAATATTTACCAAAATATTGATATTTTGAAAGCTTTTTTGCCGGTCATTTTAAAGTTATCATGCACTGTAGAATCATAGAATCACAGAATGGCTTGGGTTGGAAGGGTCCTCAAGGATCATGAATCTCCAACCCCCCTGCAGCAGGCAGGGCTGCCAACCTCTGCATTTAATACTAGACCAGGCTGCCCAGGGCCCCATCCAAATTGTGCTTATCTCTCTTTTCTTTTTGCTTTCTATAGATATTGATCTTTGTGAAAATAGTGTCTTAAAGCATCTCGGCCAACCAAATCTCACCTTTGAACATCTCAACACGCTGATGGCAAGTTTGCCAGGCAAGAAAGTGGGAAAAGAAGATATCGAGCGCACAATGAAACAGTGTCAACATGCAGAGCAAGTTCTGAAGCTTCTCAATCTGTGGAGAATAAAGAATGGAGACCAGGACACCATTAAAGGTTTAACGTATGGACTGAAGCACTTGAAAACATACCACTTTCCAAAAAGAATCATCCAAAGTCTGAAGAAAGTCATTAAGTTTCTTCACAGATTTCCAATGTATAGATTATACCAGAAACTCTTTTTAGAAATAGTAGGGAATCAACTTAAACCAGTGAAAGTAAGATGTGTCTAATTCAAGTTATTTTTTATTCTCCACTGACAATTTTTGCCTAATTACTGCCAGCAGTAATTAAACTGGAACGTTGTTTCCCTACATTATCTCTTTCTATTTATAAAAATGCCAGACTGGAATAGCTCTAAGTCTTTTGCAGTGTTCTTGGAGGTTTTTTATTGTGTTTTTTGTTTGTTTGCTCAGTTGGTTGGTTGTTTTTTTTTTTTGTCTGTTTGTTTTGTTTCTTAATCACTTTTGTAAAAGCTATTAACCCTGTTGATAACACTAAGAGCCTGATTCTGCATTTTTGCACATTCAGAGTTGAAAAGCCCCACTATAGTCACTAGAGGAGAAAAGAATGCTGGACCAGGCTCTAATGCAGTATTTGCTATTTATATTCTTTGAGATATAAACATTTTTGTTGTACATATTTATTAAGTTAAATGGAAATTGTATGAGACTGAATTTGGGGGAGAGAAATGAAAAGCACACTGTATATTTTCTAGTTAAACAGAAATGATCCCATATATTTTTCTGGCAAAATTTTGTAGCATGCTCTAAAAAAATCTTTATTTCTTTACATTCGGTATTTAAAGAAGTATTATTGCTTAGTTTTATTTGTATAACTTGTGTTATCTTTGGGTAGGGATGTTTTAATTTATCCAATGATTTTATCTCAAATGTGGTGAAAATATAAGTGACCTGAATATTTAAATATTCTGTGAGGAAGTGAATGTATCATATTTAAGAAGCTGGATTTTTACATAGAGTTTCATAATCTTATTTTGTAAAACAATTAAATTTTTCAGATTGCTTTTTGACTGATGTTTTACTCATGACTCTGAAGTAGGAACTACTAACAAAGACATTCCCTGTGGATTTCGATGCTTATCTTGGGCATGGTTCTCCACTTCTCTCTGCCTGATCTAGTAGTTAAGATGTGAGCCAAGTAAACACTGACCAGCACTGGATTTTCATGGTTACTGTACAAATGTAAAAGAATGTACAAAGTATTAGAGTATCCAAGTTCAGAGAGCCTGGGTGGGTGCGATGCAGTCCGTTACAACTCTATAGAGTTGTAGACATACGTGGCCCAGCATCACTCTTGGCCTGGTGTCATTCTTGGAGAGCTCACAACCTTTGCCCTGACCACAGCTTGTAATTTCATGGAGGAAAGATGATGCACTGACCCTGCGGAGCTTGGAAAGCCTCACATATTGCCACTGTGTTTAAAGGAAAGGAGCAAAGAGAGGTCACATATAAAAAAAATTCACTTACTTTTGCCCTCAGCTGCAGAATGAGGCACCTGCAGAGAGATGGGCAACTAAAAATGGGAGCAGAGAGAATATGAATGCTGTTATTAAAAGCTCAAATAGTTTTAAGGATTTCATTCACAGTGCAAGCCAAAGGCTTTGGTGGTTGCAGGGAAAGACTGCTCTGTTTCTTTCTTCAGTCCACACAAACGGAGCTTAGATATTCAACGCATTCCTTTCCCTTGTGTAAAGGAAGGAAAAGCCATTAACCTTGCGTGACAAATATTCCAGTACAGTAGATGATAGGATTTTAAGCAAAGAATGAGGAAGAGAATCCTGGTGGAAGTGATAGATTCTCATCAAAAGGGCAAATGAGATACACTGCCTTAAAATACTTGGGTTTCATTTTTCTCTGAATTTTCACATCACTTTTGGGATCCAAGTGCAAGTATTCAGTAATAAACTCCTCTTTATATTTCACATGCTATATATTAGCATCTCATTTATCAGAGTAGCTGAAAAATGATGTTAAACACACAGAAAAAAACTACATTTGCCTTGGTTCATTCAAAACCAGTTACACGCTTTTACAACGGGAGCTGTTAGACAATTATATAAGCGTATAACTAAATAGGTTGGAAGATGATAACGATAGAATCTCAAATTAGAAAACAGAGCTTAGATTTTTCCAGGATTCTGCCAGGTGTGGAAGTTTGTGATGTAAGTATTAAAAACAGAACCCTCGTCCTGCTGCCAGCACCACTAGGGTGCTGCAGCACAATGGAGAGGATGCTACACTCCTCTTACAAACATTTCCATCTTGATCCTTTCTATGTTGGATCTAATACAAGAGTTTACCAATTGGTAGTGTACTTATAGTCTCAAGAAGCAATGTGGTAAAAATATTTTTGGAATTAATTTATCAGACTAAAAGGCCAGTGGACAACATGGTTGCTTCTTGCTCAACACTTGATACATTTTTACTTTTTTAATGAATGCATTTAAACTACCATGTTGCAACTAATTACGTGTAACTCATTATAAATAGCACAGTAAACGTTTGTGGGCCTTTGTGAATAACAGTGCAGCAGAAGATGCTCAGAGCCACTGAGTATAAGCCATTGCTGTAGCTGCCTTGTGCAATACTTCAGTACAACATAGCCTGTATTAGTTTTCCTTTGAAACTTCAGTGTTAAACTATTACCTGTGCTTTTTAAAATGATTTTTTTTTTTTTTTTTGCCTAGACATGAAGGTACATTCTTGATGAATTATGCTTTTTAAAGCTGATTTAGCTAAGCAGGTGTCCACAGCAAGGTAGGCACTTCTTAGCCAGCTATGCTTCGTTTATCAATTCAGCTTTCCTCAACTGGAAGGAATCAAACACTTCACATGGTGAGCAGCCGATGCTTTAACTGTATTCCCTTCCCCAAAGAGCCTCCGGCTCAAAATAGCCAAGACAAACAAAAGCAAGACCCAAGATAATGAGGGAGAGATGAGGCAAACAGAAGTGGGAGGGTTGCTTGGAAAAAAATGTGGGTTTGGGGGGTGGTTTGTTTTCAAGGAAGGTTGCAGGAGGAAAAAGGAGGTGTGAGGTGGGAAAGGAGAGAGACTTGAGGGATGGGGGCATGTAGCAGCAGCCAGAACTCAGCCTTGGTGTGTCTGGAGGAGGGATGCTGTGCTCCAGGTGCTCTGACCAGGGTAGCTGTGCCTGTTCCCTTCTCAGCCTTACTTTGGGCCAGGCTCAGGTGAAGGGAGATGTTTGGTCAGGCTTCAGCAAGTGGGGATGTTAAAAAGCAATACTACAGACTTAAAACAGAACCTTGCAATCCCAAACTCTTCTATAACCCATTTTTTAAAATCTATTTCTTTTTTTTGAGACTATCCTCCAGTGAGGCAGATTCCTGTGTCTCATAAAATACAAGATGTTTTCAGGTAGATGAGAAATTAAAGAAGAAACTAGATATTGAGCTTTTTAATCATCTGATATTTTACGCTGTGCACATCACTGAGCACAATAAATTCCTTGTCCCCGACTCTGACTTGTGAATGCTCTCATTGAAAAATTGCCAATCAATTATTGTCTGCTGTAGCCTGAACATTTTAAATAGTGCTTGATATTTGATAACTCTTAAAAAGTTGAAATGGATAATAAAGGCTCCAAAGATTGGTCAGGAGTGTGCATGCATCTCTAACCAAACTCTGCATAAAACACACTCACACACATGCTCACATGCACTTGCACTCACACACACCATGAATACAACTTGTACCAGGGTTCTAATAGGCTGCATAGATGTGATGAATAGGTGATGAATTCAGCCCAACCAGCACCCTTCATCACTCTCAGACACCCATCTGCACATCTTGGTACAATGTCAATGTTGCAGTCTCAAGGCTGAAGTGTCTGATTTGCATGTAGATCATCTTCAAAGTCCCTGAATTTTGAGCCTTGAATTAATTCCAAGTGGTGTCTCAGAAGTAAGCAAATTTTTATAGTAAAAAAGAAATTTCTGCAGACTACCAGAAATTATTCAATTTCAGGCACGTGTCAAATATGGGAAATACCCACCCTTCAAAATATTTCTTTACTCATATAATGTGATGAGAGAAGGGAAGGAAAAAAAAGAAAAGGAAAAAAAGAAAAAAATAAAAAGAGAGAGAGTTTTACATTTTTCTTCCTTCTACCTAGGTGGTATATTGGCTATACTTAGGGATAGAAATGTCTATATAGCAAAGGATGTAGTCCCTGTGGAAGTGACTGTTCCCTGAGCAGTCAAAGGTCTACACTATCTAGGGGCAAGGGCTACTGGAGTGGGTTCAGAACTTCAGTGAACTGAGTAATTCTAGTTTTATATTAGAATTGAGAAAAAGTAAAGCAGGTGAATGCAACATGAACATAGTTTATTCCACCCATCATCATCAAATACAATCCCTTGTATTTATGGCAAGTTTGCGTAGGATTCCTCTGTTTGTCTTTTCACGTTTAAAAAAAGTTCTTTCATACTACCACATTATTTTTTTAAAATCACCCTGACCTTTAGTACCTAGGAAGTTGTTTAAAAGGAACCACATGATGAAAGATTGTGGCTTTGGCAATATTTCATATATGAAGAGAGCTGGGTGGGGTTCAATAACCATGAACACAGAAAGTTCTGGAGAATACTTTTCTCTCTTTTTCCCCTTAATCTAAGAGGGAAAGCCTTCATCCACCTGTAAATAACTACATAAACATTCTGGCAACTAAGACATACGTCATTCTGATAGTGCAGAACTTTCTCAGCACAAAAAGCAAGATTTCTTTCTATTGATAGTATTGATGCATTGGTATTTGTATCATGTCTCAGCTTTGTCTATGACACCTAGGATGAGTGAAATGGTGAATCCTAAAGAATGAGTAGTCCCACTGCAATGGAAACTCGTTGTCAGTAAGAGATGGATCAGATCCTTGCCTTGAGGAGAGTCAGAGAGATCAAAGATCAAGGTGCCTGAATACCACGGGGCTTGCAGGAGCTTGGCCAGAGCAAGGGAAGACGAACATAGATCCACATTTTCGGGAAGGGCGTCCACACTCAGGAGATGCGTCAATGCTTCAAGAAGGGTGTGTTTTTTGGATAGCAACAAAATAAGCTGAGAGTGGCTGGCAGCAGGTGAAGCCAGCGGGAAACCAGGCTATTCCGGTCTCTGGGAGGTAGAGAAGAACAGCTTGGTTTTACACCGCGTAGGCTGGGAGACATCACAAGGATTCAAGGAATGGGTAGTTACTGCTGGTCAGAGGTGTTTTGAAAGTCTAACAAGACTGACTTGCTGAAAACTTATACAAACTGGGGGAAGATCTCCTTGAGAGCAGACCTGCGGAGAAGAACATGAGGGTCCTGGTAGACGAGAAGCTGGATATGAGCCAGCAGTGTGCACTTGCAGCCCAGAAGGCCGACTGTGTTAAAAAAGGGATGGCCTGCAGGGAGAGGGAGGTGATTGTCCCCCTCTACTCAGCTCTTGTGAGGCCCCGTCTGCAGAACTGCATCCAGGCCTGGGGTCCCCAGTGCAGGAAGGACATGGAGCTCTTGGAGCAGGTCCAGAGGAGGGCCACTAAGATGATCTGAGGGCTGGAGCACCTCTCCTGTGAGGAAAGGCTGAGGGAACTGGGCTTGGAGAAGAGAAGGTTCTGGGGAGACCTCATTGTGGCCTTCCAGTACTTGAAGGGAGTGTATAAACAGGAAAGGGAATGGCTGTTTACAAGGGTGGGTAGTGATAGGACAAGAGGGAATGGTTTTAAACTGAGACAGGGGAGGTTTAGGTTAGATATTAGGAGGAAGTTTTTCACACAGAGGGTGGTGAAGCCTTGGAACAGGTTGCCCAAGGAGGTTGTGGATGCTCCATCCTGGGGCATTGAAGGCCAGGCTGGATGTGGCTCTGGGCAGCCTGGTCTGCTGGTTGGTGACCCTGCACATAGCAAGGGGTTGAAACTAGATGACACTGTGGTCCTTTTCAACCCAGGCCATTCTATGAAATTCTATGAAAACACAAGTTAGAGAAACGATGCAGGAAAATTCCTCT